TTTCTAGAGACAAATTTGGAGCCTGCATTGGTGAATTTCTCGTCCTCTCTGTGTGATTAATCTCGTTTTACTTGTTTTTTTTTCTAGCTAAATGAATATTTGGATCATCGGTTGCTGTTCTTATTTAGGGATGAAAAAAGACACGACGGATTTTGCTGGGGAACTGTATGATGTATTGGCAAGGAGACGAGAGATAATGGCAGCGAAAGGGATTACGCTGCAAGAATTGAGAGCGTTTTGGGATGATTTGACAAAAGAAGACCTAGATTCTCGGCTACGGATATTCTTTGATTTGTATAAAACTCTCTTATATGTTTTTCCTTCTGATCTTGAAATGTAGATTCTGAAGAACTTGAGTGTTTTCAGGTGTGACAAAAATGGCGACGGGAAGATCTCAAGGGAAGAGGTGAAGACGGTATTGGAATGGAGCGCTTCTGCAAACAAATTGAACAATCTTGAGAAAGAATCTGAAACGTTCGTATCTCTGATCATGGAGGAGCTTGATCCAGACCGCAATGGGTTTATTGAGGTACTTGTTCAAAAATAAACTAGGAAGAACAGGAAGATCAAATGCCTTTTCGCTTAAAACTCTAGCTAAAAGACTGATATGGGTTTAAACAGATTGAGCATATGGAAATTCTAGTGCGAGGAATGTGGAGCTCTGAAGAAGAAAAACGATTGCAGAAACAATATTCTAAACTTCCGGCGTCCCCGATTCTAGGAATCTGCAATACTCCAGCATTTCTGAAGGAAACAGAAGAAGTTATTATGACGAACTGGAAAAGAATCTGGGTTTTGACACTGTGGGTAGCAATAAATTTGGGACTATTTGTTTGGAAATTCATGGAGTACAGAGAGAAGGGGGCGTTTAAAGTGATGGGTTATTGTGTTTGTGTTGCAAAGGGAGCAGCTGAGACTCTCAAATTCAATATGGCTCTCATTCTGTTTCTTGTTTGTAGAGGCACATTAACCAAACTTAGATCCACCTTTCTCAGCTCCATATTCCCTTTTGATGATAATATCAATTTCCACATGCTGGTTGCTGTAGCCATTTCGGTGGGCACTTTTCTTCATGCCACAATGCATTTGACATGTGATTTTCCCAGATTGACTTCATGCTCAAACAACAAGTTCATGGCAATTCTTGGGCCAAATTTTGACTTCAAGCAGCCAAGTTACCCTGACTTGGTTGCAAGTGTTCCTGGTGTTACTGGAATCCTCATGATCATTATAATGTCCTTTTGCTTCACATTGGCAACTCCTTTATTCAGGAAGCGTAAAGACAAGTTACCTCCGCTGCTTCAACATTTGGCAGGCTTTAATGCCTTCTGGTATGCACATCATTTGCTTGTTCTGTGCTATGCCCTACTGATTCTTCATGGCTACTTCATATTCCTGGCTCAGGACTGGTACAAGAGGACGGTACGTCTATTGTCGTCGTATTGCTATTAAATGTTAATATCTTCATTCATATTCACATTAACAAGGTGAGATCTTCATTCATATTCACATTAACAAGGTGAGATCTCACATTTGGAGAGGAGAACAAAACATTCCTTATAAGGGTGTAGAAATCTCTCCCTAATAGACGTTTTTTAAAACCTTGAGGCGGACGGCGATATGTAAAGGTCAAAGCAGACAATATTTGCTAACGGTGAGCTTGAGTTGTTAAAAATGGTATCAGAGTCAGACACCGATCAATGTGACAGCGAGGACGTTGGCCTCCAAGGGGAGTGGATTATGAGATCCCATATCGGTTGGAGAGGTGAACGAAATATTCTTTATGAGGGTGTGGAAACCTCTCTCTAGCAAACGCGTTTTAAAATCGTGAGGCTGACGGCAATACGTAACGGGCCAAAGTGGACAATATTTATTAGCGGTTGGTTTGAGCTATTACAAATGGTATTAGAGTCAGATACTGGGCGGTGTACCAGTGAGGACGCTGGGCTCCCAAAGGGGTGGATTGTGAGATCCCACGTTGGTTGGAAAGAGGAACGAAACATTCCTTATAAGGGTGTGGAAACCTTTTCCTAAAACGAATCCTAAGACTGAAGGTGATACGTAGTGGGTCAAAGCAGATAATATCTGCTAGGGGTGAGCTTGAGCGGTCAACAATGTCAGAGGAAGGATAATCAGTGAATGAGCAAAATTGTTGGATAACAGTTAAATGAGCAAAACTATAGTTCAAACTGAACAAACCAGTGAATTACAACAACGATCTCAATGTCTGTCACCTCTCCATTTTCAGACATGGATGTACATTGCAGTTCCAGTACTTATATATGTGATTGAGAGACTTGTTATAAAGTTCTACGAATTTTACCATCAAGTCAATGTGATAAAGGTACTAAGATCTGCAAGCCATTTATCTTTTCTTGGAGGTTTGGCCGTGCAAACTAAACAATTTCTTCTGGTTTTCTCGGATTTTTCAGGGAGTAGTATATAATGGAAACGTTCTAGCTCTGTACTTGACGAAACCTCCAGGATTTGTGTACAAAAGTGGAACGTATCTGTTTATTAAGTGCCCGGATATATCAAATTTTGAATGGTAATAGCTCATATCGATCTATTTCTATATAGAAGTGGATTATATTTTAGGATAATTTGAAGTATGATCACTTGAATTGGGATGTTTTTCACTGGACAGGCATCCATTCTCTATCACTTCTGCACCCAGCGATGACTATTTAAGTGTCCATATACGTGCATTAGGAGATTGGACAGAAGCGCTCAGAAACAAATTTAAAGAGGTAATAAACTTGTTTCATCTGTCAAGCTCTTGTGCCCTTTATTTATTTGTGTTTTCTGATAGTGTTAAATTGCATTCCAACCTGGTATAAAGTTCATCACATTTTACTGTTTTTCCCTCCATTTCTACATACTAAACACAGAGGAAATGCAGGTCTGTGAACCTGAAACTAAAAAGAGGAAGGGGGGAATTGCTAGACTGGAAACCAAAACGTATTCGGATTACGTTCCTTCGGAATCAAGGTGAGTGAAAAATTGGGTCGTTCCGAGTTAGTTTGTGTAACAGGCCAAGTCTACTGCTAGCAGATATTGTCCGCTTTGGTCCTTTACGTATCACCGTCAGCCTCACAATTTTAAAACTCGTCTGACGGCGATACATAACAGGCCAAAACGGACAATGTCTTCTAGTAGTGGGCTTGGGCTGTTACAAATGGTATTAGAGCTAGACACTAAGCGGTGTGCCATCGAGGATGCTGGGTCCCTAAGGGGGTGGATTAAGAGATCTCACATTAGTTAGAGAGGGGAACAAAGCATTCAAGGGTGTGGAAACCTCTCCCTAGCATACGTGTTTTAAAACCGTGAGGCTGAGGGCGATACGTAACGGACTAAAGCGAACAATATCTGTTAACGGGAGGCGGGAGGCTTGGACAATTTGTGACATATTTTCAATCCAAAAATGGTTAATTAGGCTGGTATTGCATTTGCAGTAAGAAATATCCCCAGATATTCATCAAAGGACCATATGGAGCCCCTGCACAGAGCTACGAGAAGTATGACATTCTCTTGCTCATAGGCCTTGGGATTGGGGCTACTCCAATGATCAGCATTTTGAAAGATTTACTAAACCACATCAAACAAAGTGACTCCCACACTGTAAGTAAAGCAAACCAAACCAAACTGTTGACATTTTTGTGAAAGTCTGGGAACTAATCCAAGCATAATTGCAGAACGATGCCCCAAAGGTCCCAAAAAGAGCATATTTCTATTGGGTGACAAAGGAACAGGCATCATTTGATTGGTTTAAAGGAGTCATGGATGACGTTGCCGAGTACGATCACGACGTACGTCGACCGTGCTTAAACAAGAAAATCGCTTAATTCTATATCCATTCTACCTGCAAGTAATCAACTTTCTTCATTTGAATCATTGCAGAAAATAATAGAAATGCACAACCACTTAAGTTGTATGCACGAGGAAGGAGACGCCCGATCCGTGCTCATCACCATGCTTCAACAAATTCAGAAATCTAGAGGGGAAGAAGTGGACGTTGTCTCTGGTAGCCGGGTAATCATGAACACAATTTACACAACAAAATTTTCCTCCAAATTCTCTTTCAATCCTCATAGGCTTGTATATTATTTTAACACAACTGTACCACAGATAAGGACTCATTTTGCGAGACCGAACTGGGAGAAAGTTTTCGAAGAGTTGGCATCTAGACACAAAGGCTCTCAAATAGGTGAGAAATCGAGCCTCTAATCTAAACAAAATGGGTTAAGCTAATTTAAGCTTTTGGATTGAGAGGTAATTTAATGGGTCCTTAGCATTCGAACTCTTTAAAGTTATTTAGCTTTTCGGTGGATTGAGCTATGATTTGACGGGTTCTGTGGTCGAAGTCCTTGAAATCATTTTCACTTAATGGGTCTGTATTCGAACTCTTTTAAAGTCATTTTGCTTTTAGGTGAATTGAGCTACGAGTTGACGGGTTCTGTGGTGGAACTCCACTTTTGAGTTGGGTTGGGTGGGGTGATCTAACACGCTCTCGTCGGTTTCAGGTGTATTTTACTGTGGACCATACACTCTCGTTAAGGAATTGCGGGGTCACTGCCAAAATTTCAGCGACAGCTCAAGATCAACAAGGTTTCGTTTCCACAAGGAGAATTTTTAGCAACCTTTCCCCACCAAACACTTCAAAAAGAAGTTGTAAAATTGAAGCCATCATCTTAAGTGATTTTGAAATTTCTTGTCTTAATAATTATCCTTTTACTTATTATATTTTTTATTTTTATAAATTGAGCCCATAAACATTGTTTAGATTCGAACTAAGCTTTGATTACTAAAAATTAAGGATCTATTAGAAAAGGAATGTAGCTTTGCTTGCTACCCATACAGCTAAAAGATCTGATGCACCAGCCAAATCAATATATTGTTCTGTTCTAAGCTTGTTCATGATGTAAAATTTTCCAGCCTTCTTATTCCATAATTCTCGAACAGGAACCACGCAAGTAATTAATATTCCTAGAGAACAATCCAAGTTTGGTATAAAGCTGTTTATGATTTAAGCTGACACTTGACTCTTCAGTTCATCACCATTCTTCAACACTCTGAAACTGAGAGTTGAGAAAGAATGGCGAAAGAGAATCCAGCAGAACCCGGCGAGCCTTCTCCGCCGGTTGCTGGGAATAAAAAAGAGCATAAACACCTTCACTTGTTGAGCTTTCTGAATGGTTCCGCCGAGAACTCATGGAAGAAAGTTGAGGATAAATTTCGCCAGCAAGTGGGCGACGGAAAACTTTCCAGGGACAAATTCGGAGCCTGCATTGGTGAAACTTTCTCTATTTCTCTATGATTTAATCTCTATTTTGCTTACAAATATTGTGAAATTTGTGTTTGTTGATTCTGTTTCAGGCCTGAATGAGGACTCCACATACTTTGCACACGAACTGTTTGATGTATTGTCTAGGAGAAACAATGTAGAGCCTGAGAAAGGGATTACTCTGCAACAATTGAAGGTGTTTTGGGAAGAATTGGATAAGGATGATCTGGATACCAGGCTTGAGATCTTCTTCGATTTGTAAGCTTCTCTCCCATACTTGAAGCATTAAATTGGTTCCTAATTCATCCGCTTATGGATTTGAAATTTGTTGTTAGGTGTGACAAGAATGATGATAATAAGATCTCAAAGAAAGAGGTGGAGACTGTACTAAAGTGGACTGCTTCTGCAAACAAGTTGACAAGTATTGAGAAACAAATTGAATCCTACGCATCTATGATCGTAAAAGAGCTTGATCCAGACGGCAATGGGTTTATTGAGGTACTAAAATAACCAAGTAAAACAAGAATGCCTTCAATTTTTTTAAGATAAATTAGTGATATAGTTTGAACATGATTTATAAACTATTTTGTCTCTCTATGTAACACCTGAGGCTGAACTCTGAAGGGGAGTGGACACTAGGCGGTGTGCCAGTAAGGACGCTGGCCCCAAAGGAGGTGGATTGATGGACCCCAAAGGAAGGTGGATCGTAAGATCCCACATCAATTGGAGAGGAGAACAAAACATTTTTTTTATAAGGGTGTAAAACTTCTCCCTAGCTTTTAAAAATCTGGAGGGAAAGTCCCAAAAAAAAAAAAATCATGAAGACAATATCTCTTAGTGGTGGACTTAAACTGTTACACTCTACCTATTTCAATCTCTATCGTTTCAAAATTCGTTATTGGGAAATTTCCCTCTTTTTTAAAAAACTATTCATTTCAATGAAACTTTTTTTATGATAACTTCCCTTTTTCATATAATTTTAATTAAAAAAATAAAATATCATAATAAATCTTATTAAGTAAAAAATATAATATATAGTTTTGCTTAATGTAAATTCAAATTTCAAGATTAAATATATAATAGGTATAAACTCACTTGAAATTCATCTGAAATAATTGATGTCTTCAACAGATTGAACATTTGAAACTTGTAATCCGAGAACTGTGGAATCCTGAAGAAACCAAAATGTTGCAGAATCAGGATGTTTCAACCAGCAATTTTGTGAGAGAAACAAAAGAAATAATCAACGATAACAGGAAAAGAATCTGGGTTTTAATACTGTGGTTAGCCATAAATTTGGGTCTGTTTCTTTGGAAATTCATGGAATACAAGGAGAAGGAAACGTTTAAACTGATGGGTTATTGCATTGGTTCTGCTAAGGGATCAGCCGAGATTCTGAAATTCAATATGGGTCTGATTCTGTTTCTTGTTTGCAGAGGCACATTAACCACACTTAGATCCACATTTCTCAGCTCCATATTCCCTTTTGATGATCATATTTCCTTTCACGTGGTGGTTGGTGTAGCCATTTCATTGGCCACTTTTGTTCATATGATTATGCATTTGGGATGTGGGTTTCCAATATTGTCCACATGTCTAAGCGACAAACTCAAGGAAATTCTTGGCCCAAGTTTTGAGTCCAAGCAGGCAGGTTACTGTGATTTGCTTTTAAGCGTTCCTGGTGTTACTGGAATCCTCATGGTCGTTATAATGGCCTACAGCTTCACTCTGGCAATTCCTTCACTTAGAAAGAGTGAGAAGAAGTTACAGGAATCCTTTCATCATTTGATAGGTTTCAATGCCTTCTGGTATGCACATCATTTGCTTTTTCTGGTCTATGTCTTGCTGATTCTTCATGGCTACTTCCAATCCCTAGCTTGGGATTGGTTGAATCGAACGGTATGTAGTCGTATTGGTCTTAATCTAAAGCTACTGTTTTTGTTCATATTGTTAATATCAAGTTTAGAATGGATGTGTTGGATCTGTTAGAATCATGAAATGGCTCGTTTAAGTTTGTGTTTTGTGAGATTCCACATCAGTTGGGGAGGAGAACAAATCATTCTTTATATGGGTGTGGAAACCTCTCCCTAGTAGATGCGTTTTAAAACCTTGAGGGGAAGCTCGGAAGGGAAAGCTCGGAAGGGAAAGCTCAAAGAGGACAATATCTGCTAGCGGTGGGCTTGGGCCGTTACAAATGATATTAGAGTCAGACACCGAACCATGTGCCAACGAGGACGCTGGGCTCCCAAGGAGGGTGGATTGTGAGATCCCACGTTGGTTAGGGAGAAGAACGAACCATTCTCTATAAGGGTGTGGAAACCTCTCCCTAGCAGACATGTTTTAAAATCTTGAGGGGAAGCCCGGAAGAGAAAGCCCCAAGAGGATAATATCTACTAGCGGCGGGCTTGAGCCATTACAAATGGTATAAGAGCCAGGCACCGAACAGTGTGCCAGCGAAGATGTTGGGCCTCCAAGGGGGGTGGATTGTGAGATTTCACATCAGGAGAGGAGAACGAATCCTTCCTTATAAAGGTATGAAAACCTCTCCCTAGCAAACCTGTTTTAAAATCTTGAGGAAAAGCCTGGAAGGGAAAGCCCAAAGCGGACAATATCTGCTAGTGGTGGGCTTGGGCCGTTACATGTTTAGTAGGTCTCTCAACGTTAAAATATATCTAAAAAAGTCCCTAAACTTTATGATCTCTCTTCATATGCAGACATGGGTGTACGTTGCATTCCCATTAGTTCTATACGCAATGGAGAGACTTAATATAAGCTTCAACGAACAAAAACATGAAGTCAAAGTAAAAAAGGTACAGATGAAATATAAGAAATTCTCTCTTAGGTTCATTGGAACCAGACAAGACTTACTTTTTTGGTGTTTTTCTTGGACTTTACAGGCAGTAGTGTATAACAGAAATGCTCTGGTAGCACTATACTTGACAAAACCAGAAGGATTCAAGTATGAAAGTGGGATGTATCTGTTTGTCAAGTGCAAGGATATATCAAAATTTCAATGGTGATATCTCTCATATTTTAAGAACTACTTATCTATGAGAATAATGAGTTGACTAATTGGGATGTTTTTATCACTGGATACATACAGGCATCCATTCTCTATCACTTCTGCACCAGGAGATGACTATTTAAGTCTCCATATACTTAATCAAGGAGATTGGACATCCGAGCTCATGAACAGATTTGGAAAGGTACACTCGACAATACTCCAAACTCGGATATAACATGTTAAAAGAATATAATGTCTTACCCAGTTGAGCTATGTATAGATTGACAGGTTAACACTAGTTCTTCTATAAGTTTCTTAGAGGCAATATGTATTCTTATGTTAATTCTCTCTAGCAATGTTTTGGAGATTGGATACATTTAGGATGGTTTGGTTGAGACCTCACATCGGTTGGAGAGTAACCTCTCCCTAATAGACGCGTTTTAAAACCTTGAGGCTGACGACGATATGTACCGGGCCAAAGTGGACAATATCTACTAGCGGTGGGCTTCGCCTGTTACAAATGATATCAGAGTCAGGCATAAGGCGATGTGCCAGCGAGGATGCTGGCCTCCCAAGGGGGTAGATTGTGAGATCCCACGTCGGTTGGAGAGGGGAACGAATTATTCCTTATAAGGGTGTGGAAACTTCAGTATGTTCAGTTGCAAGAACATGAGATGAAGCACTCTGAGTAAGAAAAGAAAAATCGACCCCCCTGCACCCAACCTAGTTTTGGGGTTCAAGTCACTTCAGAGTCTTCGCCTTTAGATAACAAAAAAAGGTGTCCGCCCCTTAGGTCAATTTTCCATTTTTGATTATTAAATCATAGGATGCCTTTGGTACGACTCTTGTTTCACACGATTCAAGAACTTCCGTAACGTTGGCGTCTCTAACAAACGTGTTTTAAAACTTTGAGGAGAAATCCGAAATGGAAAGTCTAAAAAGAACAATATCTACTAGCTGTGAACTTGAGCTATTATAGTATTGTCCCATGCGAGATCTGAAAAGAAAAAAAAAACATTAAAGAGTCTTCTTGTAAAAGTGTCCACTAAAATCAGAGGAAATTATGCAGGCATGTAGCGCTGAAGATGAAATGAAAAGAGGTGGAATAGTTAGACAAGAAAGAACAAACGACTTGAGATCAAGGTGAGTGAAAACTATGTGTTGTTCTGAGGCAGAAATGCAAGCCACAAATGGTTGTTAATAAGACTGATTGGTGTTCTATATTTGCAGTGATAAATATCCTCATATTTTGATCAAGGGACCATACGGAGCCCCAGCACAAAATTACAAGAATTATGACATTCTCTTGCTCATAGGCCTTGGAATTGGAGCTACTCCCATGATCAGCATTTTGAAAGATCTACTAAACCACGTCAAAACGAATGCCCCACAAAATGTAAGTGTTCACGTCGTTCAAAATTGTTGGAAGAGGAATCTCACATTAGCTAAATAAGGGATCGATCATGGGTTTGTAAGTAAGAAATACAACTCCATTAGTATGAAACATTTTGGAAAATAAAAAAATAAAGCCACGAGAGCTTAGGCTCAAAGTGGAAAATATCATACAATTGTGGAGAATTGTAGTTCCTTACACACATTCTAAACTCATCTTGCAGACCGAAAAGAACTCGTCGTGCTCGAACAAGACCCCAAAGGTCCCGAAGAGAGCATATTTCTACTGGGTAACAAAGACACAAGAATCATTTGAATGGTTTAAAGGGATCATGAATGATGTGGCAGAATACGATAATGGAGTAAGTCGGTGACTAACAGTGTTAGGAATAACTTACCAAAATTTTTTTTTTCAAAATTAATAAAAAAGGCTTTTTAAAATCAAAAGTGTTTTTTTTTTAATTAATAAAAGATAAATTTAATCATAATCTAAGATCATTAAAAAAAAATGATTTTGTTCCGTAAATATTTATTTTAAAAAAAACTTAAATTTCATATTCTATATATTTTAGTGAGGTGAAATAAAGCAATTTTAACTGACCCATTTAAAATTAAACCATTTCAGAAAGAGAAAGTAATAGAAATGAACAACCATTTAAGTTGCATGCAAAAGGAAGGAGACCCACGGTCCGTGTTCATTACCATTCTCCAAAATATACAGACCGAAAAGGATATCATTTCTGGAAGTCGGGTAATTTTCAACTCCAAACTAATTTTATTTCATTTTAATTTCAATAAATTTTAAATAGTCATTTTTGTCAGGTGAACGGACTCTCCACAATCATATAATATTATTGCATAAGCTTTTATAGCTATGTTTTGGACTTTCCCATAAACACCTTGTTCTAATGGAGAGAGTATTCTTAGCCTATAAATATATGATCACTTCTGCAGAATTTTCATCCAATTATTTTTATTATAATAATTTTAATTCTATGAAAATATTATTTTTAATATTTATTAAAAAGTAGGTATAGTAAAAATTAAAATAAATGCTATTAACATATTCTAATTTTTAAAATTAATTTTGAAAACAAAATAACTTATTTTAAGATTTTTTTTTTTTTTTTTTTTAATTTTTAAACTTTTTTTATAATAAGTTTCTTGGAGTTGTCACAGATAAGGGCTCGCTATGGAAGACCGGACTGGAAAAAGGTTTTCACAGACTTGAAAACCAAGCACAAAGACTGTAACATAGGTGAAATTTTAATTAAAATGCTTAATCTAATGTTAACATATATATTAACAAATAAATGAAACTAATCACATTTTAATTGTTTTTTTTTTTTTTTTTTTTTTGCAGGTGTATTTTACTGTGGAAAATCCCCTCACCGCCCATTCGCTGATCTCTGCAGAAATTACAGTGATGGTTCAACAAAATTTCACTTCCACCACGAAAACTTTTAACTTGTGGTAAAAAAATGTTGGCTAATAATAAAAAATGGAATTCGATTTCAATAAAAAAAAAAATAAATAAACATCGATCCATCGACTCAAATATATTTGGTTATAGCAATTTCTTGATCTCGAGCCTTATATTATTATGATTACTATGATATAACATAAACGAGTATTGTATTTTTAATTGATCGGTGATTCAAATCTTCAACTTTTTATTGGTTAAACTCGAACCGTCATATTTATTTTTAATATATATATAACTAAATGATGTAGATATGATGAAGAGTGTCAAATCTGATGGGGCATTGTGGAAAATAGAATGGTTCCCATATTTGTTAAGGCATTGACTTAGGCCTGAAAGATTCTAAACCATTCCAACCCCTTCTTCCTAGACAGCCCCTTAGCTGTTACTGTCTCTTCAATATTGTCTTCTATTCTGCACCCCACAGTGTTTTTCGAATTATAAAGCGTTTATCGAGGGCATGGAACCGCTAACATACCCCACATTATAACTTGAGCGTTATTAGAGTCATATTCTAGATTTAGCCGTGTTTGTGTGCTTCGAAGACATAGTCATTGTGATTCATGATGGACAACTAATTAGATAAGGGGTGTGTTTTGGTGAACATGAGTCAGTCTAGTTGAAAACGATTGCTCGAGAGTAAACAAGGATGAAAGATTGTTCGAGGGGAAACATCAAATACACCTTGTTCGATCAACCCTAAGGCCTAACCCTAAAGAGGAATATTGGTAAAGGTTCTATGGATAACTTCAAGTATGTATAACAAGAGATAATACAGAGAATAAAGAAAGTGCATTTTGAGAGCAATGTTTAATACAGTTAGGAATCACAACTCTCCACAATTGTATAATATTGTCCACTTTGAGCATAAGCTCTCGTGACTTTTCTATGGGCTTCCCCAAAAGGCCTCATATTCCTCGCTTATAAGTCTATGATCATTCCCTAAATTAGCCAATGTGGGCTCACTCCCAATAATCCTCAACACTTCTCCCCTCGAACAAAGTACACTATAAAGCCTCCCTTGAGGCTTATGAAGCTCTCGAATAGCCTCCCCTTAATCGAGGCTCGACTCCTTTCTCTAGAGCCCACGAACAAAGTACACCCTTTGTTCGACACGACTCTGATACTATGTTAGGGAATCACGACTCTCCATAATGGTATGATATTGTTCACTTTGAACATAAGCTCTCGTGGCTTTGCTTTGGGCTTCCCCAAGAGCCCTCGTACTAATGGAGATATTATTCCTCGCTTATCAACCCATGATCATTCCCTACATTAGCAAAAACGTGGCACTTACTCCCAATAGTCCTCAATAACTTTCTTAAATTTTTTTTTCTCAAAGAATAAGACGTATCATATTTTATTTATTTATAAAAAAATATTATTATTATTATTTAATCAATTGCAATAAAAATTAAGTAAGATTTATTGTTATTAAAAGGGACATTAAAAATACAAAATAAATAAATAAATAAAGGGCGAGTCAGAATGCGAAACGGCAAATCAGATTTTCCTTCTCCAAATTTTTACAATATTTATGACATTCATTTTAAGGCCCTCACCAACCCTACTCGCTACTTACCCTACGCCCCCCCTCCTATTTTTCTTTTAAATTAAATATTTATTTTTCACTAATTCCCCCAGCCACCGTTCCCACTCCCGCCTTCCTCCTCCTTCACCCACCCTGCCCTCACCGGAAACAGCTCCAACGTCCTCAGCGTCCCATTACCACATGTCGTCTCTGCATCCTCCTCCCCCACCGCCATCCCATCATCTCCACCGCCCTCCACCTCCGTCGTCCGCCCCTCTCCACCCTCTCCCTGCATAAACAAAACCGGTAATTAAAAACGTTGGATGATGAAAGTCCCACGTCGACTAAGTTAGGAAATAATCATAGGTTTATAGTCAAGGAATAATCTCTCATACCCATAGGTTTATAATCAAGGAATAATCTCTCCATTGGTATGAGAGGCCTTTTGGGGAAGTTCAAAGCAAAACTACGAGAGTTTATGTTCAAAGTGGACAATATCATATCATTGTGGAGAGTAGTGTTAGTCTAACATGGTATCAGAGCCATGCCCTAAACTTAGTCGGGCCAATAGATTGGTAAATCCTCAGATGTTGAACAAAAAACTCCAAAAGAAAAGGAGTCGAGCCTCGATTAAGGGGAGACGTACTTTGTTCGAGGGGAGATGTTGGATGATGAAAGTACTACATCGGCTAATTTAGGGAATGATAATGAATTTATAATCAAGGAGTACTCTCTCTATTGTGGAGAGTCGTGTTGGTCTAACAAAAAAACATATTAAATTCCCCATCCCAAATCCGGCGTGATTCTTATAAATCTCCGTACCTGAAAATGAGTTGGAAGCGGGAGTAGCGGCGGCAGGAAACGCTGGTGGTGCTGAAGAAAACAGTGAAAGAAATGGTGGTCATCAAAACGCTGTCGTTTAATGAAGAAATGATGTTGCTGAAGCTGCTTATAAAGCTTCCTACGCAGCTTCTGGCGGTCTCTAGCCTTGTGGTTTTGAAACCAATAGAACACATTCTTGCCTTCAATCTTTCCATACAAAGAAAGATGGGAAGTAATATGCTGAATCTGAGTGGCATTGGGAGTCTTAAGCCCATTTCTATAAATCTCCTCCAAAATCATCACTTGCTCGGGGGTCGGACACCACCGTGATGGGGTAGCCGCCGCCGCCGCCGCCGCCGGAGACATTTTTGAGGTATTTTTGTTGGTGGGTTTGTGGTAGTGGGTGTGGTGTGGGTGAGTATAAATAGAAAGAATTGTGGAGAGAGAAGATCCAGTGGGTAAAGAGGGAGAGGGACAAGGAGGATGGATGATGATAAAAGTGAAAAAAAGGGCTAAAAAGTCTTAGTTTTAGAAGAAAAATAAAGGGAAGGCAGTGATGAAGGAGTGTCATGCTATGTTTCCCATGGAGAGGCATTCATCTCTAGATTTCACCCATAACGTACACTGTCACCCAAAATAAATAAATGTGTTTTTTTTTTTTAAATAAATTTATTGAGGAGACGATAACTTTATACAAAATACTTGGAATCGAAATGGACCATTACTACAACTGAAAGAGAAGGACTCGCTATGGTAAGTTTCGACTAGCTTAGATACAAAATCGTCTATGTGGACTACTAGGGCTTGCAAAAGCAGGTGGTATTACTAGCTGGGTATGCAAGATGACATTGCTGAGTATGTGAAGACATGCCTCGTGTGTCAACCATACAAGGTTGAGCGGAATAGACCACGGGAAAGTGTCTCTATAGATTTTATTGCAAATGGGTCTTAATTCCGTGGACTCACAAACAAAATGAAAGATACACATACACATTTCTTGTGTCCGTTAAATGGGTAAAACACGACTCTCCACAATGGTATGATATTGTCCACTTTGAGCACATTAGACGAACACGACTCCCCACAATGGTATGATATTGTCCATTTTGAGCATAAGCTCTCATGGCTTTCCTTGGGCTTCCCAAAAAATCTCATGCCAATGGAGAGAATATTCTTTGTTTATAAATTCAGATTCATTTCCTAAATTAGCCGATGTGGAACTTTCATCATCCAACATTTATAAGAGCAAATCGAAATAGAAGTCAGCTCGACGAGATTTGATGAATCTTTTTGAGAGGAAAGGGGTCGATCAAGAGAGATTTGGTAAGTTTGGATGTTCCACTTTCACGACAGGGAATTGACTCTACGCCTCCATTTCAGTGCCCTACCCGATACTCAAATGTCTCGAACCTATTACCTCCTAAACTTTTTTTAAGTCATTTTTAATAATTAAGAAATTGTAAAAGATAATTAAAAAAAAAAAAGGAGTGTGAAAATAGGAAAAAAAAGGGGGGGGAGTTAGAAGATGATTATGTCATCATCACCTCGTAATATGATTACCACTTTCTCAACGGAATGAACAAGACGGCCAGACACTTGGGACTTGGGCCTTCTCCTTCTTCTACTGTCAATCACTCCACCTGTACCGTACCTAATCCCCACTCAGCCAATCAGTACACGCCAACTCGGATGCCTTGCCAAATCAACGCTAATATTCCACCTCATCAATTAATTAAATTCCTTTAAATAAAAAAAAAAAAAACTCAATTATTTTCCCCGGTGGAAAACGTCGCGTATTGGATAAAGCGGTGCATCGACGTTCATAAATGCGAGGAGGGCCAGGAGACAGCCAGCTCTGTCTCTCGAATAATCTCAGTCGTCCGTTTGTCGCCACGCCGCGACGATCGTCAACCAAGAAGCAGTAGGAGAAGGTTTAGCAAAACGACATCGCAGAGTACATTGTCTTCTTCCACCCCTTTTATTATTATTATTATTATTTTCCATCTTTAAAATTCCTATTCAACCTGCTCCTTCTGCCCACAATTTCAACGCATGCTTATTTATTTATTATTATTATATTAAAAAAAAATTATTTTTAATCTTTTTTTTTTTAATATAAAGGACATCGGTCGGCCTGGCTCTCGAAAAACGACGAAGACAGCAATTCAAATCATTTGGGTAGAATGGTAATTTCGCCATCCTGAACTCTAGACAATGATCCTGGTCGAACTGTGTGGGCCCGGCCCACTCATATGATTCCGTGGGGCCCATAAAACCTACCCTCCCGTGTGTCTCGACAAAGCGGATTAAATGTTTTTTTTTATTTTTTATATATAAATAAAGTAGGGTTTTTAAAAATAAAGATTATGTGAAGAAGTGCAATACGACGTCGTGTGGTCTAATCAAAATGGAAGTGGGGGGGGGGGTCG